GTTGGGTATGGGTGATTTAATGTACGCATGCTTCATTTTAATAAAAGTTTCTTTTAATTAAAAAAAAACTCAATAGAACAGTATATATATATATATATATATACATATATATATATATATATGCAATCAGAGGCCAGATGAGCATCTCAATGATTGGGACTAATGCCACATTTCAACTGACACAACTTTTAACCATAAAAGAGTGAGATGTGGCAGCCCGACTACATAGAATTTAGAACATTTCAAAACTTTGGAACATTTCAGATTTGGTTTTTGCTAAAATGTACAAAACCTTCTATATTTTCCTATAGCCTATAGGAGCCAAGAGCTACGGGAAGACATTGCAAGATTTGCAGCTTAATGTCACTTATACGTACTAAAGTACTTGCTTGGTTAATGCGCATGAATTGAAGAATCTAACTTTATGACAAATGCATCACATGGTTTATATTTTATGGTTAATCCTTTTCTGATATATATTTTATAGTTTTGGTCATTTATTGACATTAAGGATGGTGATGTTGCCTCGTGTAAGATTGACACCTCTCACCATCACATCTATAGCTATCACCCCTTTTTCAATCTCATCTTTTGGAAGAAAAGAAAGTGGCCATATCCATCTGTTGTTTTCCAAACATAGTCTACCTAAGTTTGTTGAATAAAGTAATTGACAAACATGAGATTCTCGTACGAATTTTTTTAGTTGGCATCAAAATCTATGGCTTAAATTATATACTGTGACAGGTTTGTCAGTTAGATACATTACGAAACTCAAAAAGTACAAACTTATTTCCTTATTCTGATGGAAAGACAATAATTTAAAAAAATTAAGTCACGCAACATGGGTTTTTTTTCACGCAACATGGATTTAATAAATCAAGTGCTTGGAAGGATGATTCTTGAAAAGGTGATTATGAATGTTTGGAATGCATTCCTAATGCACAACAAAGAGCATATTTACTTCCACTGACATACATTGAATCTGATATATTAGTGCTTTGGTATCTGGGAAACTGTTGTAGGATTAGAACTCTTTCGTACATTAATGATTGATGTATCAATATTCAAGGATATATGCTCAAGACTTCAAAAGGAAAAAAAATTAAATAAGAAATGAAGATCTTTCTGAATTGGTATATGTCGTGTGTTTCAAAGTTTGGTTTTGGAATTGGATATCTTGTCTATTTTGAACATTCAGTGTACTGATTTTGCTGGTATCCTTACATGACAAAGAGTATCAGTAATTAATTTAGTGACATGCATATATATAAATGTATATGTACCAGAAAAGAGTTTTTCGATTAATTTTGGATTAGAGTTTTTGGTTTCAAAATCACTTTTAGCACAAATTCAAAATTAGTAATTTTGGGATAACTTTTATTCCTTAAAAAATTAAAAATAAATTTTGACTAATTTATCATTCTATTCAAAATGTTATAAAGATTACAAATATAATTTAGAATTCAAAATCATACATTATCCAACAAAAAAAACTTACGTAAGTATAACGTTAAACGACTGAATTAGATATACTTTAAAGTGTATCTAAAGTGTGTACTTTAGCATAAAAAAGTTAAAAGTTTGCAAGCGAAGTAAGATTAAGCTTACTTCTTCTCGTGTTTCTTAATAGCAGATAATTGAAGAATGTGAAGAAAAAGAAGTTCTTATCATCTAAACAATGCAATTTGTGATAGCCTACGTGCTCCCGAAAGGATCTAACTAACTATATCTTTAACGTAGTTTAAAAAAAAAAAAAAAAAGAGGAAAACTTGCATTTGAGTTCTCATGTTGAACATGCTCATATCATGTTTTTGGCGTCTACAATGGAACTCGAAGTTGATCTCTTCCTCTGAACATCTTTCTCGTAGGAAAATGACATATTTTTGTCATCGCTCAAATGCCCCACAATCGGTGCGCTACATCATTACCTTACGAGTGTTAGTACCGACAAAAAAAAACACAGAAACGTGTATGCATGAAAAACAAATCAGAAAGGATGTGTTCACATAGCTCAATTGAACATGCTGTCATGAACTCACTTCTGACAAGAAAACCAGACTTCCCTTGGTTGCTGATGATACAGCTATTTGGTCCTTGCTGGAAAGCACAGGATTTTATAATCCTACCAAGATGGCCATTTTTGGTTGTTGGAAATATTTGGCATGTAATGAGAAAAAGACTTAGTGTTAAGAGTTTCTTTTGTAACGCCCTTGGATTTGTAAGAAATTAAGTTAACACAAGTTATAAAGAAAGTAGGGTGTTATTTATAAAAATTAACAAGAAAATATAACCTGACCTATACATTTATGAGACATGCTGTTTGACAATTTTAACTAACCTAAGAGTTTTATAATGAATAATCACTGGTCAATGATACAATAATCATCCATTAGAAACCTATTTACTTAATGTCGTATTCGCGTGCTTATCAAATTAGTTAGACCAAAGTAAAAAAAAAAAAACTCCGATCCAAGTTTGTTATCTATTATCTAATAAGCATTGTTTTATAGAGGGGTGTCAATTATTAGTTTTTTGTTTAAAAAATTAAGATTAAATAAAGAAATTATACAAATACTAATGAATGATATGTGATATATATAGTGTGTGTGCACTTAAATGATTAGATTAAAATAGATATGCTAACAAATACCTGATAAGCATTGATTTAAAAAAAAAAGTCCTTCAATTAACATGATTTTCATATTTTCATGTTATTAAAGGGAGGTTAAAAGTACAATGAAATTGAGTTTAGGTCCTAAACACTCAAAGCTGGTTTTAACAACAAATGGAGGGTTAATTCCATTTTGCAGCCTTCAGGTATAAATTGGAATATTTTAGTCCCTAAACTATATCCTGATTCTCACTTCAATCTCTAAACTCGTTATTTTGAGATTTTTGTTTATTGTTTGATTGCATATTCCTTCTGTGCCCTTACAAGATGCAACCATACTGCTCATGTGACTAACATTACGTTAGTTTTGCAGATTTTGTTAACAATTATACTTAAGTAGGATGAGTGGGACTAAATGTCCCATTCCTGTTCAAGGATCAAAGTCGGAATTGAGATAAAGTTGAAAGGTGCAATATGGAATTAACACACAAATGAACGAGTTAAAACAAACTCATACATTTATGCTGTTTCTCTTTTGTTACCGATACCGCACTAACTGTTTGAAATTCCAAAATGAGAAAAAAGTTAACATCTCTAAGTTATACATTATGACCAAACAAACAACTTTTATTGCGAACCTTTTATGTTTAATTTGGCATACGTTGTGTCCGAATCTCCTATCATCCAGCATAAGTTGGGGTTAGATCTACTTCGCATTCTTAACTATACCTGAGTTTTAATTTTGATTGTTAAACTTTAAAATGAGACACTTTAATTTCAAATTATCCTAAAATATAAAACTTGTTCATTTTAGTCCCTAAAATATAAAATTTGTTCCAATTTAATTCCTAAAGTACATCCACTTAGGCATAAAATCTATCTCATTTTCTTAATGATGTTACTTAAGTGGGACAAATTTTATAACTTAGGGACTAAAGTGCCTCATTTTTAAGTCCAAGGACTAAAGTGAAAATTTAGGTATAATTGATGGGTGCAAAGTGAAATTAGCCGCATAAGTTGAGAATAGGTGGTTGTAATACGAATACACAGCAGTAACGACTAATAAGCTCAAGAATACTTTCCTTTTGATGTACAAAGGTGAAGATTATGAACCTTTATGCTTACGTGAAGTTTGTGAAGGTTATGAACATTTATGCTTATGTATAAAGGTGAAGGTGAAGGCTATGAACCTTTAACACCTTCTCTTTATGCTTGGTTGACAAGGATAGCTTGAATCACATCTTTCCTCATTGCCCTCTAGCAGTGCAGGTTTGGGCTCTGTGTTATCTTTACAGCAAGCTACATCTAGATAGGCCCCAAGTTTTTTCTTCTTGATTTCCTTCCCTTCTCCTTTTCCTGCCTGCGTCAGACATGGAACTTGTTGCTACTATTTTGTGGAGTTTATGGAATAACAGGAATGGGAAAATATTTGAAGGGACTTCTAAAGATCAACTTTCGCTAGTCTCTTTAGCAACTAGCTTTTGGAAAGATTGCCAAGAAGCCGTCCAGAGTTCGCTACATGGTTCTGATGTACCTACTTCAGCCCCTACATTTTTTAAAGGCCAACTTTGATGGAGGAGTTTTTCAAAACGAAGGCTGCTGTGGCATTGGAGTAGTTATTAGAGATAATTCTCGTAATTTCATAGCTAGACTGACAAGCCAAGTTGATGGTGTTTTATCAGTAAAGGCTACAGGAGCTTTAGCTGCTAAAACTGCATTTCATGTCCAACTTCAGCTTCAAGCTACAGATATTATCCTCAAGGGTGATTCTCAAGCAATCATTGAGAGCATTATTTCATTGGAGGATGATCAATTTGAGATAGGTCCAGTTTTTGGATGATATTTCTTGTACACTAGTTCATTTTGTCACTTGGGAAGCCAATTGGATCCCAAGAACTTAACAATGTTATGCATATAGCTGTTGGCTTGTCATGCAAAACATATGAGTTAAATGCTTCTAGGTGGGATTCTACTCCCCCAGACTTTTGTTATTTTCGCTCTTAATGTGGACATTAGTTGATAATAAAATCTATGGTTCTTTATCAAAAAAAAAAAATGTGAGCAAATTCGTCTAAGGGGAGTTGGTTGTCAGTCTTATTTATGCGATTTACATTATCTACTTGGATCACGCTTGGCCATCATGGAAGCAGGCTCAAATCTTGGTTCAAAGTCGCGAACGTGGTCCGAACAGTTCTACATCGGTTTCGGCATATCGATCGCTGTCTCGTCGATCGAGATGCAAATTTTTGAAATATTTAATATTTTAAAAAATATAAAAAATATGATAAACAAAAATAATTAAAAAATTAACAAAAATAATAAAAATTCTAGTTGATTCGGAAGGATTCAGCCATTTCTATTCCGTCTCGATCAAGTTTTCAGCCATTTATTATCTCGGAGTCATCTCGTCCCGATATCGGATCGGAAAGCCCCGTTCTAGTAATGACTCGACCGAGTCTTTGAACCATGGCTCAAATGCGCTGTTTGTAATCTCTGCAACTGATAGTTGCTCATGGTGTGCCTTTTCTGCAGAAATAACTGGTGCATAGGAGGAATGCATGAAATGGATGCGTGGGCATGGCACCAAGTTTGTTTGGAATTCAGTAACATCCACGTTAAGAGCACCATCAAAGCGAAGAGATGCTGTCAAGGAGGAGATCACCTGCATGCAAAAGACAGATTATGCTCGAAGACATCCATCAATCAGGGATCTTTTTTGGTCAGCTGATCTATTTCCCCATTTGACATCCATTTCTACTTCTAGTTGACATCAAATTCTAGAATTTTCAAAAAACAAGGCACAACATTACCAAAGATACCAGCAAGATAAATGAATGGACTAGCCCCGACATGTAGTGTTATTCCATATTTAACAAGTGCAAACAGCTTTAACTTTCAAACAGTAATAGGGGTGGCCAGAATAAATGTCATTATATTTCATACCTGTGAAACCAGTCTGTTCAGATTGATGTAGGTAGGCCTCTCAATATCCAGTGATCTACGACAAATATCATAAATGGCTTCATTGTCCAAAAGCATTGAAACATCTGTGTGCTCAAGGAGCGAGTGAGTGGAAAGAACGCTGTTGTAAGGCTGAACAACAGCTGTTGAGACCTGGGGAGAGGGACAAATTGTGAACCCAAGCTTTGATTTCTTGCCATAGTCGACTGAAAGCCTCTCCAACAGTAAGGAACCAAGGCCAGAGCCAGTTCCACCACCAACAGCATGAAAAACTAAGAATCCTTGTAATCCTGTGCTGTTGTGAGCTAGCTTTCTTTCTATTTCAACATTTATAGATAAATTTTTCTCAACGTTTGAATTTCGTAGTATTTTCTTTCTTATAGTTTTTACTAAGTTAAAATGTAACACGATATTTTTAATTTTTCTTTAGAAAAACACAAAAAGCCTCTAAAAAAAGATCCCGTGCAACTGCTATACTACCATCAATTCCACCACTTGGATTTTTACACACACTAATTTATAATGATAAAAATGCAACTTTCGCAAATTCAATGATATTTATCCATGCTGATCTAAGTATTTGTTGTGACAAATGTCCTTTTGATTTCTTTTGAGGTGGTTGGTGGGTTGGAGGTTTTTTTTATGGAATTTTGGATTAATTATTTCCTCTCTCTCTCTCTCACACACACACAAGTATATATACTCTATGACACAGTCACATATAGAGTCAGAATCAATTTTAAAACACGTGTATGACATGCATGAGAAAATTGTGTTATTTCAATTAAAAAATAATAAGTAAATCCAAGAAAAAAGTGAGAATGGGAGGATAGACATCGAGTTGGAAAGAAGAACAAAATTTGCTTTAAATGAAAAAATTGGCCATGTGAGAATAGACATCGTGGCAAGAAGAACAAAATTTGCTTCAATTGCATGATGACAAAAGCAGTCGAGAAAAAGATGAATAACCATTGAAGATCGGTGAGATGAGCTAGTTATAAATTAACTCTATTGAAGCAGATTCCAAGGATGATTTCTTACATATATCCAAGTCTCTCAATCTACGGTGGGTTATAGATCCAAGTGGTACATTCTTGTACATTGATTGATCTTACAAATTCTTTTTTTACATGCAACTATAATACATTTGCAAGGAAATGATCCCTAGGCGTAATTTAGGTTGTGCAAAACACTCTCAAGACTTTAAAATTTTTGTGATAGCACCATTGACACCATAATTTTAGTAGTCATCAACACATACGAATGTTTAAATTGTTATTTGCGTTGTCTAATATCTATATCTATATTATATATAAAAGGAGAGGAGAGGGTTGGTGTAAACATTTTGTGTTACTTTATGTTATACCAAAAGCACCCTTTAAAATTAGTTTTCAAACTATTCACATTTCATCTTTTTTTTCCACCATAATTTCAATACAATAACTTCTTCCAATGTCAAACTATTCAGATTCTCTCTTTTTCTCCACCATAATCTCAAATACAATAAATTGCTCTAAAAATTGTAATTACAAATTTTCCAAATAAACAAATACACATGTACCATGAAATGTAATAACTTAATATGATGGAAAAAATAATCATATAGTTTTTAAAAATAAACACACACTTAAGGTGTACCAAAACCACTAATTTTAAAAAAAGTATGTGATTGCTGACAAAATAAGAAGTGAATAATTTAAATATTCAAGCATACAAGAAATACACAGTTACGAGAATTGATATTTGAGAATCATCTATAACAGTAAAAGATTTTCTATTTTCCTACACAAATTATAAGAAAACGTTTACATGCACACAATAATTTATGTGTATAGTAACCTAAATATCATGATTAACTAAAGTGGAATTTGTAATTTTTATCAGAATAAGCAATTAGAAATTATAACATCTTACAATAATATATATAAACTCAATAGAACAGTTTATATATATATATATATATATATATATATATATATAATTAACACGTGGTATTAGCCCCAATCATTGAGATGTTCATCTAGCCTCTGATTGCATATATATACCTGCTGATTAAACCACTAAATGTGAACTCGGCAATTGCCAATCAGTGGAACTGTGAAACTTGTTGGTCCTTTAATCAGAAGGAGAAAGGAAATGTTTATCACCAGCTTTACCATATTTGAAGGATGACAATATACAAGCAAGAAAATACATAGAACAAAAGAAATCAGGCAATTTCAACATTTCTACATCAAATTAAGATATTAAAGGAAATTAGAATTGTCTATTTACATAGCATATTCCATTCTGTTTATTGAAGTTTTACAATATTTCACAGCTAAAAGATGCACCTAGTGCTCTACATTATTTGTCTATGCCTCTTGAATTTCTTTCAAGCTCTTGACTAGCCAAAATTTTTTTTTGAATATCAAATGAACAAGACATTTGAAAGTAAACATGTAAACTTTGAGTTGTTGCCAAATTAGGACACCTCAGCAGCGCATAACAGCGCAATTATACACAAAACTTCCAGAATGCTTTGTTCCCAGGAATGTCCACTCGAGGGGACCTTCATCTGGCTCCCAAGCATTGATATCTATGCACCCTCCATTCAATGCCCTTAGTCCACCGATAACCATTAGTTGATTACCACAGGCCCTGAATGCCAACCCCCAGCCATTCATAGAGGTTGCCTGTTCAGGCAATCTACCTATGGTAATCCACATATTTCTCTGCTTGTCATACTTCCAGACTTCCTTTTCATCGCAATAAGCTGCATATAACTCATTCTTCACCACTGCGAGCAGAGCAGGTGCTCTTGTTGTTGCAGGAGAATCATAAGTACCCTCTCTAGCACATTGAGGGTACATATCAGGAATTTCAAACCAGGTTCCTGTCCTTAAATCATATACCTCTCCACAGGTAAGCACCTTTAAGCTGGCTCCATCGCTTGCACTTGGGTTGCCTATTCCGACACCACCGATGACATAAAACTTGCTATCTATGAATACTCCTGAACATAGTTTTCTGGGTTTATGCATTCTGGGGAGAGTGCACCAACTTTCAGTCATTGAGTTATAAAGTTCGGCAGAGCTCAGTAAATTGCCTTTTGAGTCGCAACCACAAGCCACGATCGCAATCTCTCCAAGACTAGCAGAGCCAAACAGCCATCTTGGGATATTTGTCCTTACACCAAACGACCATGCATTGGTTAATATGCTGTATTTGTAGATCACTTGAGACTCTATTTCCTTTCCAAAGACAAGAAGTTCGGTGCCAACAGCCAGTGACTCCTTGTCAGAAAAAAGGAAACATTCGTTTGAAATCATTTTAGGCAAAGACATCCATCTACGGCGCAAAGGATCAAAAGCTTCCCATTCAAGAAGGCTGCAAGAAACATAAACCCAATGTTCTACAATACCCAGCTGCCTCCTCAACTTATAAAGATCCCCTCTTCGGATTAGAGACCTGAAACTCTGATTGAGTGAAGCGATAGTGCCATAATCTGCCCTCGAGCAGCGAAGTAAGCAATTAATTGAGAGATCTTGGCCAAGTTGGAGGACGAGTGAACTTGTATCAATATAATACCCATAGTGGACTTGGTCATCTTCTTGATCCATAGCTTGCCCTTGGAATGCTAGTGGCTTGGATGGTTTCATCACTCCAGTCTCTTCCTCGAGGTGCTTTCGCTTTGAGTTCCCTCCCTTGGGCACTTTTGCTTTGAGCCTTGCCCTCGGAATGCTAGTCGCTTGGATGATTTCATCACTCCAGTCTCTTCCTCGGGATGCTTTAGCTTTGAGTTCTCTCCCTCAGGCCCTTTCGCTTTGAGTTCTCAATAGCAGAATGAGTATTAAAAACCCACTTGCTCTCTTCTTCACAGGCGCTTGCAAGTCCCGAGAGACAAGAAATGATGGCCCCTCCAATATGATGGCTGAAAGACTGAGAAATCTGAGAACTAAATTGGTCCAACAAAGTTAAGCCTGAAGACATCAGTCCAAGTGATATTAGTTAATGCTACAATCTGGAAAATAAATAAGCAAAAGAATACCTAAACAGTTTAGCCATAAATATATGATCTTTATTGAAAATTGGGATAATTACAATCTATATCTCTCTTTGATATGCTAAGAAGAGCAAATTCCATAACTATAAGACATCTAAAACAGGGAGTAACAAAGTGGATGTAATTGGTTCGGCATTGCATTTAAAAAGTGAACGAGACCCTCTGTGAGAAAACCATGCAACGCATCATGAAATACATGATTAGAGGAAAAATTTTCACAAACAGTCAGTTAAAACCCAAAACTCAATTTTGAAGACATTGATTGTTGGAGCAGTTCTACATTTTCAAGGAAACAGTTGAGTGTAAACTCAACAACAAGGGCATGAGCACACATCTTGATACAAGCACAAATAAGTGCTGACAATACTAGCATGTCTAGCTCCATGATGACTAGCTCCAAGTGCCAATCTAGATCTCTTTGCCATCGTCAATATCTTATATTTTTCCAAATCATCAAAACAGAAAAAATTGGAATTGAATAGGTAGAAACATGGTTATTTAAAGTTGAGTAGATAAAACAACAAACTCTAGAATCAACTATGGACGACAGTGAATGCTAGCCGAAAAGTTCCAATTATGAATAAGAATAAATTCCTTAAAGAAAGATTTAAATTCCATGAAATAAAGTCCAAATGCTAAAATCAACAGAAAGGATCTTATACATTGAAAAGAGCCACTAATGAATAAGAATAAATTCCTGAATTGGAAAATGATTTTGTACTTCTAGGGGAAAAATATTTTCATTTAAATTCCATAACACTAAACAAAATTTGGAAAACAACAAAAAGAATCTTCTACATTACTAATATAGACCAATCACCACAAACTCACAAAAGTAAGAAATCCATCCCTTCAAACTCAGTCTGGAAAAGGATTGAACTCCCAATATTTAAACAAAATTTAAATCAAAACAAGGATAAGGATTCAATATTAAATCCGAAACCAAATTAAAACCTGCATGCATGTACAGTGAAAGCCAATTCAATTCAACATGCCCTTGCAAGAGAAATTCAGACTAAAATCATACCACCGAATACCTATCCTGGAAGCAATTATAGCAACACCCAATTAAGGGGATAACAAGCAAATACTCAGAAATGAAAAAACAATCTCAAATTTAATAGTGATAACTAGCAGTCAAGAGAACACCTTTGAAAAATCCTACCAATCAAAAAAATAAAAAAATAGTGATACATGCAATAGGAAAATAAAAAAAATTAACATTGACATAAATTTGAAATAAAAGAATGATCATTATACATGAATTGCCCTCAATGGTCAGAATCTTTACATGCATTCCCTTCAAAATATAACCTAAAATGAAAAAGGGAAAAGAACTCACTAGGAATTATCTCATAACAAGAAAAACCTAAAAAACCAAACCAGAAAACTTACAGAGTAATCCGAGCATAGTCTTTCATTGTAACTACCAAAAAGAACAAATTTCTACTAAAAAACAGAGAAAGAAAAATGAATCGGTAGCTAAATTATTTTATCAGGGCCACTTTGGAAACTTCTTTTATTTGCATTTGAGGCCCTCTCAAATCTAAACTACAACAAGAAAAAAACAGTTCTCTCTTAGCTGTGATGAGAACTGAGGAGTGAGAAGAAGGAAGAAGAGTTGGATTTTTTATTGGATGAGTTGAATATTGGCTAGAAGTAGCAGTATTTGTAGTAGTGAACTAATGGGAAGAGGGAGACGACGGTAACTTGGGAAATGAGATGGCGGTGATAGCAAGGGGTTAAGATTTAATGGAAGATAATTTGATGGCCGTCATTTGCACGTGTAAGCATTTTTTTTTTTTTTGAAATGGTTGTCACCTTTTGGACCGTTCTTCCTTACCAAACTCCAAAAGAGTTCCATTCTCTGTACGGCTCTTCGTTTCATAACATTTCTTCTACACCCTAGCAACACACTATAATTTCCACTTTTCTCTTTTGTTTTTTCCTTTTGAGTGGATTTGATGTTCATTAGAGTGATCCTAATATGGTCTCTTTCCAATCCGATTACGTTGGTACCAAAATATACACGTTTCCTAATTTAGAAATCTATTTTCCTGTATGAGAATTATGATTAAGGCTTTTGAAGAATTATAATGTATTTGGCATGTATGGTCTTATGGTTTTAATTATTTACAAAAATTTCCCTATGTGCTATATTCGTTTAAAATGGTTTAGGTTACACAATATGAACTCGATTATTCTATATAATTAGGCTATGGAATACAAAGTGTTGATTAGATATCTATGCACGAGTTCTGTCAAAAATATACGGCTAAAATAGCTTATATAATATTTGTCATTTGCAAAGATTTAGGTTAAGAAATACGAATTGAATCACTTTACAAATTAGGTCATGGAATACAAAGCTTCAAAAAAAAATTCATGCTCGAGCTCTATTTGTATATAACAGTTAAAAATGACATGTAGGGCGATTTGTCGTATTTGTTTCTTGCACACAAATAATTGACCAAAATAATCAATAATTGATGATAGTTATTCCATCATTAAATAAAGTAAAACACCAAAATCGAACTTTATCGAACGAATTACTTTTATAAAGAATCTAAAATTCTATTGTATATTCTTCACGTAATAATTAATTGTTTCATGAGTTAATTGAAAAGAAATAATAATAATCATCATCGTCGTCATCATGAATATCAATTATTATGTGCTTAGAGCTCATAAAACTATTTCTGTAAAAGGAATTTTACTAATTTACGTACCTCTATGTTTGCAGCATCTCTCTTGCATGATAATAACAAACTATTTTTCCAGATTTTCCATTTAACTAATTTATTTATTTAAATTTCCTAATTTAGTTTTCAATTTCCTCTTGATGATAATTACCTTTCAGGTTAGGTAGGGCAATGATGCAATAACAAAGGCTCTCATGGTTTTAATTCTATACAATAGTTCTCAATCTTGTAATTCATTTGCAAAAATTAAAGTTGCAGAATATGAATTGTATTGCCTTTTAAATTAGGGTTTTCTAGTACCCAGTGCCAAAAACAAAACCATGCCTGAAATCTATTTGATTTATAACTATTACAATAGCATATATAATATTTGTCTTGGTTTATCTTTTATTTGTTTGTGAGTGAATGACTT